TTTTCCCCTTAAAGTCAATGCACCTAATGTTAGAAAGGAATAGGGGGAAGAAATCTTTGCAGTAAATTTCTCTGATAAAGGTTTCATTTCCAAGATGAATAAGCAGTTGGTTCAAACTTAGAAGAATAAGAGTCATTCCTCAATTGACAAATGGTCAAAGGACATGCACAGGTAGTTTTCAAAGAAAAACAGCCAAGCTATTAACAGCCACATGAAAAGATGCTCCAAGTCACTAATAATTAGAGAATTGCAGATTAAAACAGCTCTGAAGTTTCATCTCACGTCTGTCAAATTGGCAAAGATGACAGAAAAGGAGACTAACAAATGCTGAAGGGGCTGAGGGAAAATAAGCACATTACTTTGCTGTTGGTTGAGCTGTGAATTGGTTTAGCCATTTGGGAAAGCAATGTGGAACTTTTCCAAAAAAGTCACCAAAGTCTGCATATCTTTTAGTCTAGATATACTACTTCTAGGCCTGTATTCCCAAAGCAATCAAAGGGGAAAAAAGGACCAGAATATTTGCAGTACTCTTTTTAGTTGCAAAAAGCCAACAAGTGGAAACTAAGGCATCATTTGGCCATCATTAGCCATCAGTTGGGGAATGGCCAAACAAATCTCAATATATGAATGTAATGGCATACTGTTGTGCCATAAAAATGACAAAAGAGTTGGTTCAAAGAAACCTGAGAAGGCTTGTATGGACTAAGGCAGAGTGAAGTGAGCAGAAACATCGAACAATTTATGCAATAACAACACTGTAAAGACAAACAGTTTGATCAATGCAATGACTAACCATGATTCCAGAGTACTAATGATGATCTACCATCTACTTCCTGATAGCAAAGTGATGGATTCAAGATGTAGAATGAGACCTACAATTTTGAACATGGACGCTATGGAATTTTGTTTTGTTAAGACTATGCATATATAAAAGTTTTGTTTTTATTTCTTTTTTTGTTTATTTTTAAATTGGGGAGGGGAAGACATTAGGGGAAGAAAAATAAATGCTTGTCAATTGAAAAATAAAATATAATAAAAATTACTTATGTTAATCATTTCTTTTGGTCAATTGAAGGCCCTTCAATGGATCTATGATCTCATTTATGTGGGTATTTTCTACTCTGGTGCAGATAACAGCCTATTTCCGCCTTCTTTTCGTGTGTGACTTTTTTCTGTGTTCTTCCACAAAGCCTCTAACAATAGACCACCAAACTGGCTGGTGGCCTTCTTCTAGCTCTTTTGACATTCCATAGTTCTCAGGGTTGCATGCAGACTGTCCATTTATTATACCTCCATCTCATTGAATGACTAGTCAGTCAGTCAATAAGTATTTATTAAGCACTTACTATGCCACCTACCCTGCCACCTACCCTGCCAAGCACTGTGCTAAGCACTGGAGATATAAATTTGAAAAAAAAGAGATAGTCCCTGCCCTCAAGGAGCTTACAATCTAAGGGGAGAAAACACACATAAGGAAGCTGAAAAGTGTGGGGGGAAAAGGAAGGAAGGGCTGGCTGGGAAAGTACCTGAATCAGGGGCTTGATGGAAAAGTCAGAGAAGCCTCAAAGTAATGTGGCCAGGTGAGAAATGAGGAGAGGAAGACCAGTCCACATCAAGCTTCTCCTTGAAATAAAATGCCTGTTCAGTCTTACTACTAGGTTTATACCCTAAGGCTGCTATTGATAGGAAATAAAAAGACTTCTCTATTCAAAAATATTTCTCCATCATTGAAACCCATTCTCTAGGAAATACCAAGAAGCATATCCACACCCTGGACAGGAAATTACTATGAATAGTCCTAAACAAAGACTTGACACCCTACAATCTTTTCCAATTGATTGGGAAACTCCTTATCACACCCTAAATGTGTACTCTTTCTATCAGGGAGGTCTCCCCAGAATGGAGTGCTTATACTTATATTGCTCAATATTGATTAATTTAACAGGAGTTTATTAAGCACCTGCTATGTTCCAGAAACTGTTTTAAGTGCTAGAGATATAATAAGCAAAAGTCCCTACCCTCAGAGGGCTTATATTTTATTGGGGGAAAACCATATGTACATAGAAAGTTAAAATATATACAAAGTCACTTTAGGATAGAAGGTGCTAATGATTAGGGAGGTCAGGAAGGGGCTCTTGGAGGAACTGGGACCTGAACTAAGCCTCCTAGGAAACTGGGGATTCCATGGGTGAGTTGGAAGTAGGTAGTGAATGCATTCCAGTCATGATGAGATGTCTGTTCAAAGGCACAGAAATGGGCAAAGGGGGAGAACAACAGCTTTTTATTGAAGACAATGTTCATACGCATGTATTAATTAGCAGCAACACTGTCAGGTTATAGCAACTCAGAATAATGAGTTATGGTTTGTATTGAGGGTCAACTTTTCCCACGTGATTGTTTCAGTGGGGAAAGAGGAAAAGACATCTGGGAGTTTAATAAGAAAAGTTAGAGGGATTAGAATACCTGCTCATTTATTTGCAAAGGAGATTGATTGAAGAAGTTCCCTGATCAACTCAATCAGGTTACAGAGTGGTAATACACCTTTGTTTGGGATTTTAGTTGTATCTTCTTAATGAGAGTACTAATTTGTTTCACAGTGCCTCCCATATTACTTCCAAGATGAGTTTGTTGATTTCCACTGTTGTAGAATAGACAGTTTTGGGGAGGTTCTACCCCTTTGTGCTGGCCTATAAAAGGGAATAAATATCCCCTTTTGGCCTTCTGTTTTGCCCTTTTACCTTTCTTCCAGAATGATTCTGAAAATGTTTCAGAAGAGGTAGGGGGGAATTCACCCCATTAAGAACCATTGATGAGCGATGACCATTTTAGAGTAGATGTATGGAAGGGCTGTATGAAATTTGGGGAACAGCATGGGAAAATTCCCAACATTCCAGGGAGTCCCACCATATTGTTGATAACATTGCCTATCTAACCACACCAAATGCATTTTCCTTCCGATGGGAATATAAACCACAGAATGGTGCAATGAGTATGTGGCACTGCATGTGTCCCTGTAAAAAATGGTACTCTCTAAAATGTTGGAGGCTTCTCCGCTGGCAATCCCAATTTTGCTTTACCTTCTGAGGAGAATACAGAACACAGAGTAGTGTTATTAGCCTTAGAAGATTTTGGGGACCTACGGGGCGCGGCAGAAGTAAGATTTACAGGAAGAAGTTTATGTTGATTGTTTATTAACTATTTTATGTATTTGTTTATTTGCATTGTTTATGGACTCCCATAAATCTTTTCCATTTGCTGTGGGGTTGGAATGAAGGCTGTCCTGTAACCAGTAAATGTATTTGTTTCCTAAAGTGCTGCTTGTACAGAAATAGAAGACTCTGCTACTCACATTTGTAGAAACCTAAACATGAACTATATTTGAAACTTTTCCCAGTGAGAACTCTTAAGGGAGGAGGAGGGGCAATATGAACCAAACATATTTGGTAAGGAAGAATTGCCCCAAAGTTTTAATCCCAAAGGTAGAAGTGCTGAACTATGGGTTTCACTTAGGTATTGTAAGAGTTAGAGATATTGGAGAAAACAGGGCATGGACATATATATCAGTCATAAAATGTAGTTGGAAGGGATGTTCTCTTGTTTGTTGAAACCTTACTCAGAAAAAATTTTGCAATAGAAACTTCCTGGAATACTTCTAACTTCCTCAGTTAACAGTCCGGTCCTGTCCTCAAGTCGAAAAAAATGTGGGGCAGCTGGAATGAGTTTGGCTCAGTTCCTGGCTAATCACTTAAGTAAGAGAACAGAATGTGCTCTCAGGGTTTTGTAGGTGGCTTATGTCTACACCTTACACTCTTCTGAAGAGTGAAAATCTATGCAAGAAGGATCACTGACAGCTCAGAAATTTAAGGAATAAGTAGATAACAATAACAACAAAAAACCCCAGTGACCACCACCAACAAAAGTGTTATTCAGTCTGTCTGTGGTCTAAGTATATGACTTAACATTTAATTTTTCTAAGACAAGCTCTGAAACTTTAAAACATGCTATGTAAATGCAGCAGACAGATTAACATTCATTCAGTGCTTTTGTTCAGAATTTCTTGTATCAGTTTCTTGTATACATTAAATGGATCTACAGGCAAACACAGAGATTAGGAAGGACTCCCATAATAATGTTCATGTGAGAAAATACAGGAACCAAAGGCAGCAAGATGGTAGAGAACATTTATGTCATAAGAACTGAGGGATAAGAGCATATCAAGAAAGGGGGGATGGTCAAGATCAATAAAAAGAGGGACCGAAATGATGTTATCGTGAATCACATGATCAGAGGAGGAAACAAACAAAGACTTTGGAAAATGGTCAACATTCTCAGCCTGAAATGAAGGCATGATATAATAGTCTTGGAGGAATTTTAAGTATTCGGACACTGGCTAAAACTCTCTCTGCCAAAAGTGGAGTAGCTAATAAATTCCCTACTTGCCTTAATGATAATTCAACAATTGAGTATAGGAAAGCTAGGATGACAGTGTGGAGGAATGACTAAATCAAGGGAAAGTTTAAAAAAAAATTTTTTTAAGATAATGGAGATCACGGGCAGCTAAATGGCACAGTGGATAGAGCACCAGCCCTGGAGTCAGGAGGATCTGAGTTCAAATCTGGCCTCAGACACATAACACTTACTAGCTGTGTGACCCTGGGTAAGTCACTTAACCCCAATTGCCTCTCCAAAAAAAAACAAAAACAAAAAGATAGTGGAGATCTAGGTATGTTTGTAGATGACTGAGAAAGGAGAAGAGTTGGGAGACATTGGGATCATGGACACAAGTGAAGGAGTTAACCTTGGCAAAGAAGAGAACCATTTTATCTTGTTAGACTGGAACAATGGAAGAGATCAGAGTGGAAGTGTGAAGAATGGGAGCTGCAGGATTTCTGAATGGACAGAGTCCATTATCTCAGCAAAGCAGGAGGCAAGACAATTTTTTGAGACTGAGGTCATGAGGGGTGGAGCTAAGGGCTTGAGCAGAGGTTTTGAATGTGACAGGGAGGCCAACGTTAATAAAAGAATAGTCCTATAACGGTGTGGTTCGAGTTTAGGTCAGATAACGTGAATTTGTAATGAACTCAGTCAACGAGGTTTTATAACGTCCTCTTGAGGCTCAGGAGTAGGAACAGAGAAGATAAAGGCGATCCAGAGCTGGAGATCAGCAAAGGGGTAACAGTAGAAGGAAATGAGGGTAAGATAATCAAGGCTAAAGGACAATATATGTAATGTTTTTATTGCTATATTTTGTTTTCATATCATCTTCGTTTTCAAACATAGTCATCCCTGTGCCCTTCTGTGCAGAGATGCCTTCTTTATAAGAGAGAACAAAAAAAAAAAAGAAGGGGGAAAAAGCAGTTCAGTAAAATTAACCAGCGCATCAACCAAGTCAGGCAGTCTAAGCAATGCTCTGCAGTCACAGTCCTCCACTTTAAAAAAAATAAAAGGAGAGGAGGTACATTTTCTCATTTTTCCTGCAGGGCCAGGCTTGGTCATTAAAATTACCCAGTGTCTTGTTTTTTTTTTTCTTTCCATTACCATAATTGTAGTCATTAATGTGTGGCCACATATGCAATAGTGTTTGTGGGCCACTTTAAGTCTTTTCTGTGTTTTTCTATGTTTATATGTTTTCCTGATTCTGTTTACTTCAGTTTGCAATAATTCATAAAAATTTAACCATGCTTTGCTGTGTTCTTCCTATTAATCTTTTCTTATGGCACAGTAATATTATTTTATATGAATCTACCCCAATTTGTTTAGTCATAACATATTGGGCTTAGAAAAAAGTTTATTGTTGTAACATCATAGTCATTTTTGGATCTACCTCCCTTATTTTCCCCTCTCCTAACCTTCTTTGTAACAAAGAAAAATGGTTAAGTAAAAGCAGTAGGGGCAGCTAGATGGCGCAGTGGATACAGCACGGGCCCTGAAGTCAGGAGGACCCGAGTTCAAATTTGACCTCAGACCAAGCACTTGACACTTACTAGCTGTGTGACCCTGGGCAAGTCACTTAACCCCAATTGCCTAAAAAACCAAACAAAACCACAATGAATATAGTTACCACATCTAACAATGTATACAACATTCTTGCCCCCGGTACAACACCTCCCTACCAAGAGGAGAGAGGTATGTTTTCTTGTCATTTCTTTAGGCCTTCTATTGGTTGTTACAATTACTTAGAGTTCAACTCTATTTTAATGTTTTCTTTTCATTTAAATTATTGTGCTTGCATATATTGGGCCTCTGTTTCTGCTTCTTTTATATTCTGCATCAGCTCACACAGATCTTAGGTTTCTCTGAATTCACCATATTGATAATTTTTCATCACACAAAACTATTATAGTCATATACTGCAGTTTGTTCAACTAAGTCCCGATTAAGGGCACCCCCTTTATTTTCAGTTCTTTGATACCTCAAAAAAGAGGACAATCTGTTGTTAAAATGGCTTACTCTAGAGTCAGCACTACAGAAGAAAGGAAGTGAAGCCAGGGCTGGGCTGGTGGACTGGAAGAGCAAGGAAGGATCACAATAAGCAAGGAAGAGTGAAGAGTGAAGGGAGAAAAACTTCAGACAGAAGGATGAGGTGAATTTCAAAGTTCAGCGTCTTCGTGATAGAACATTAACACATAGGGGCAGCGAGGTGGCGCAGGAAGTAAGAGCTCAAGCCTTGGAGTCAAGAGGACCTGAGTTCAAATTCGACCTCAGACACTTGACACTTACTAGCTGTGTGACCCTGGGCAAGTCACTTAACCCTGACTGCCTCACCAGAAAGCAAAAAAACAGAAAGAACATAAACACATCTCGATATTACCTGAAACTAAGTGAGTAGAAGGGAAATGATTGGAGTTCTTTGGTACTCTGCCCAGACTTCTTTCTGCCAGAAAGGCAGAAAAAAACAAAGAAGTCAGTTGGAAGGAGACAAAAAGACAGCTGCCTAAACAGAAAGAGGATTGGAGAAAGACAATCACACTAATACCTTGGTGGAGCTATGAATTGGTCCAACCATTCTGTCAGTCAGTCAGTCAGTCAGTCGACTTCTCTTAAGTACTTATTATGTGGCAGGCATTGTGCTAAGCACTAGGGATTCCAAGAAGGGCGAAAGATGGTCTCTGCCTTCCAAGGGGTCACAATCTAATGGGGGAAATAAATGCAAAAATATGTAAAAACAAAGATAAATTAGAGATAGTCAAAAGAGGAAAGGCACTAGAATTAAGGGGGATCAGGAAAGGCTTCCTCTAGAAGGTGGACTTGTAGTTGGGACTTGAAGGAAAAGCAATTTGATATTATGCCCAAGAAGTAACAAAAATGTCCATACCCAGAGATCCTGCTGCTAGGCCTATACTGCTAAGTGTAAACCTGAAGGAAGTCTAGGATACACTGAAAGATCCCATAGATACCAAAAAGTAACTAAAATATCCATGCCCAGAGATCCCGCAGCTAAGCCTGTACACCAAGGAGGTTGAGCATAAACAGCAGAGTCCCTTATACACCAAAATATTGATAGTATCTTTGGGAGTATCAATAGACTAGAAACAAAGCAGATGCCTATCAGTTGGGGAATAACTAAATACATTTTTGGTACGAAAATGTACTGGAATATTACTGCTTTGTAAGAGATGATGAAGATAAAGAATGCAGAGAAAACTTATATGAACTGATGCAAAGCAGAGTAAGTGGAAATAGGAAAACAAGATGTCCGATAATGTAAACAGAAAACAAAAATGGCAATGGAATGCTGGGAAAGTATAATGACAGAAAGACTACTCATGGACAGAAACAGGCTTTGGAAGTCTATGTAATGCTTTGGGCTGAGAAGGCCTCACCAGCAAATGGCAGACTCAGGACAGAGTTCCCTTCTAGGGGCACCTAGAAAATCAGGGTCATGCCCTTCTCCCTGTCTTAGACCACCTAGCCTTGACCATCTCCATTTTGGGCCCTCGGGTAAGACTGAAAGGATAGGAAGAATAAATTGTAAGTAAAAATTTCAGGGACAAATTTAGATTTGATGTCAGGAAATACTTCCTAATCATCAGAGCAAGGGCTGTTAACCTAGGGCCTGAGAACTTTAAGAAAGATATTATTTTTATTACTAATTCAACTATTTCTATTTCAATAATTGGTGTCAATTATAATCTTATGTATTTTATTTTATACATTAAAACAAACAGCGTTCTGAGAAGGCGTCTGCAGTTTTCACCAGTCTGCCAAAGGAGTCCGTGACACAGAAAAGGCCAAGCCCTTTGGAATTAGAGCTTTTCTGGTGCCTTCTGGAATGGCTTTCTCTCTGGAGGTCAGTAGATGGACGTCTGCTGAGCATGATCTGACAGTGGGGATTCCTTTTGAGGTGCAGGCTAGATGGCTGCTGAGTTCTCTTCCAACTAAGAACTGTGATGCTCTAGATGCTTTGGAAGATGAAATGGCTAATCCTCTTTATCCTGCCACTGACGGCTTTTGTGTGGTTCAAACCTTGGGCCTTTGCTGTGTAAAGGAATGAAACCAGCTGGTCTCTATGTCAGGATAACCTGGGCTCAAATTCAAAGCCTTCCACACACTGGCCAGTCAACTCTTTAAGATAACATACATTGCGTGGAATGCTCGTCTTCATTAGAAAACAAAGTTCCTCCCTGGGAGCCCCCTATACAGATGAAATGACAGGCTGCATTTTTTTTTTAAATGTGCCAAGCATTGTACGAAGTACTGGGGATTGGCAGCTAGGTGGCTCAGTGGATAGAGTGCTGGGCCTGAAGTCAAGAAGATCTGAATTCAAATCCAGCCTCAGACCTTGTCTGTGTGACCTGAGTTAAGTCACTTAACCTCTGTCTGCCCTAGTTTTCTCAACCGTAAACGGGATAATAATAGCACCTACCTCCTAGGGTTGTTGTAAGGGTCAAATGACATAATTATAAAGCATCTGGCACATACTATGTGCTATATGAATGTTAGTTATTATTATTATTATTATTATTATTATTATTATTATTATTGGATGCTCAGGCTTAAGAACTCTTGACTTAGAGTCCAGAGCACTTGGATTTGAATCCTGACTCTGATATTTACATCTTTGTGGAATCTTGGGCAAATCCCTTAATCTCTCTGGGCTCCAGTTTCCTCATCTAGATGGCTTCTCATACCTCTTCATCTCGAGATCTATGAGCCTGTTCTCCCATGACTCTTGTTCCCCTTCTCCAAGAGGTGCAAAGGAAAACTACAACCCCAGGAATGAAGGAAGAAACCCATGGGTAGGAATGGTCTCTCGGCAGACATGCAGAGGTCATTTACTTGGAATGGCAGAAGGAGAAGTCCCAAATTCAGAACAAGGCAGAGGGTGAGGGAATGGTCTGAAGCCCCTCCGCCATGAGGCAGCAAAATGAACACTTGAGCCTGGCAGTTTAGGACCAAAGGGCGGGCAAGGACAGACCTGGGGAGGTGGGGGATGGGGGAAGGTGCACGTGCACGCTGCTAATGTTTCTGCACTTGTTACAGCCTGATCTCCAACCGCACCACATCAAAGGACTATATTTGTAGATTTTTATTTTTTTAAATGTCATACTTTTTTGAGAGTTCCGGGATGCTCTTTGATATGAGGAAAGAGAGCCTGGGGTGTTACAAAGCTAGGCTTGGGGATTTCAGGGCTACTAGCTCAAAGTTGAGGTTCTGGATTACCATAGTCAGAACCCTGGGTAAAACTCTGGGCCTCAGTTTCTCTGTCAGCAAATTGGGGACAATAATCTTTTTATCTCTCTTACTGGGTCTCTGAAAAATAAATGAGACAATCTGATGGCTACTTTCCTCTCTTAGACTCCTGACATTTTCACTGGCTGTCACCCATACCTGGAACACTCTTCTCATCTCTACCTCCTGACTTCCCCGGCTTCCTTCAAGTGCCAGCTAAAATCCCGTGTTCTGCAAGTGCCTTCCCTGCATTCATTTTTGGTCCTGTCTGCATCTTATTTGTACATAGTTGTTTTTCATGCTGTTTCCCCCCCAGACTGTGAATTCATTGAGAGTAGGTGCTATCTTTTACCTTTCCTTGTATCCGCATCATTTACGCTATATGTGGCACAGAGTAAGCACTTGATACATTTTACTGACTGACTGATCATAGGTGGGGAATGAGGCACATACACACACACTGTCAAACATGATTATTGTGTCAGTTTGTTTTACTTAACCATATTTCCTTGGTGGGGTAATCAAGGTGTTATTTGAAATGATCTTCAATGCAATGACATCTTTTCTGAGAAGGTATAGCAGGGGTAAAGGAGAAAGGATTTTGGTCCTAGCTTTCTGAATGATTAAAGCCCACATGGGGCCATGCCCAACCCTCTTGAGCTCTCTTTTTCCTACTGGTAAAATGAAAATGAATAATCCACAATAAAATTAGACTGGGCTTATCCAGCTGAATTTTTTTTTTTTCAGAGATCTTCCAAACCTTACCTGCCCCACTTGAGGAGAAGACAAGGATGGAAGTAGGGGGAAGAAGAGACTCAGCACCTTCTGATTTTAAAAACTCCACACCGTTAAGAATTGTAAATCTTTCCTGTTTGAACTTAGTTCATTTCATCATGATCAGTCCTCAGAATGAGTAACAAGCAAAATGAATTACTGAGCCTAATGCAAGGTGGTAAGTTTGATCTCATAGGAATTATTGAGACTTGATAGGATGAGACCCGTGACTGGAATATGTCTCTGGAAGGCGTAAACCTTATTGTAACAGAAGAGAAAAAGGCAAGGGCAAAAGGGAGGAGAGCAGAACTGCATAATGAGAAAATGTATTCATTTGAGGAAATCCAAACAACGAGGAGGATGGAGAACATTTATGTGAAAATCAGTGGCCTACTTGTCGCAGTCTCTCTCCACGTGGGAGAACTAGGGGCAGAGTGCCAGGAACCAATGTGTCTGGGCACAGGAACAGTTTCAATACTAAGCTCAATGTAGCTTCTTTCCTTCCACCGTCTTTCTCCCAGAAATCTTCACAAAGCAGTCCTAGAAGCTCCTGTTCCATGATGTCACTAGTTGATGAATTCTAGGGTAGTATCTCTCATCTTCATGGTGACGGTGACACAAGATTACATTCCTCCCCAGGGCCATATGTTTTTCAGTCCCTTGTAAAACTTAACTGGACCGTACTTATAATCTTTAATTACATGACATAAGCATAAATGTCAATACTTTGAAATTAATAAGGGTGATTTTCTTGGCACCCTAGGTAATCATTCTACAGTACCATTAAAGACAAATGCACATTATCAACAGATGCAACATTCTTGGTATGGTGGAGTATGCCTTTAATCCCAGCTATAGGGGAGGTTAAGGTTGTCAAAATCTTGATATGCTGATTGTGTCTCTACACTGTTTGGCATCAATATGGTGAGCTCCTGGGAACAGCAGTCCACTAGGCTGCCCAAGCAGGGTAAATCAGCACTGGTAAGAAATAGAGAAGGTCAAAGCGCCCATGCCAATTGGTAGTAAGATTGGGCCCGTGAGAGGTTGCTGTACTTCCAGCCTGAGTGAGAAGGAGAAACCCAATCTTAAATAAACAAACCAATAAATAAGCAATAGATTCGATAGACACAGCACTCTACAAAACGTCACTCGACAGGATGCTTCAGTGACTAATGTTCAGATTACATTCGTGACATAGTACATGCACATTTCAGGAGCTCATGTGTAACATGGGGTTCCAGGCAAGTCTGGAGCATTTTCGAGAGACTCCCTTAATTGGTGGAGAGACTGCTGATGCAACACTGCTGTGACTACATGAGAAGTAGAGTTTATGTGAGAGGTGGAGATCTAACCATGTCACCCCCTTACTCGATCACCTCCAGGACTCTGTCACCTCCAAGATCGAAGATGACATCCTCTGTTTGGCATTCAGAGCCCTTCGCAGCCTAGTATCTATCCTACATTTCCAGTCTTCTTACTAGTTACCTCCCCCACTGCCGCTCCCACCCCCTACATCTATACTCTTCAGTCCAAAGACGCTGGCTTCTTTGTTGTTCCTGTAAGAAGTCACTCCATTTCTTGGTTCTGAGCATTTTCTCTGGCTGTCTCCTATGTCTCCTTCTTCATCTTTGCCTACTGACTTCTCTGCCTTCCTTTAATTCCCAACTAAAATCCCATCTTCTACAAGAAGCCTTTCGCAGTCTCTCTTAATTATTTCTTGTGTATAGCTTGTTTGTATGAGTTTGTTCGCATGCTGTTTCCCTCCTTAGATTGTAAGCTCCTTGAGAGCAAGGTCTGTTTTTTTGCCTTTCTTTGTGTCCCAAGTGTGTAGCACAGTGCCTAGCACATAGTATGAGCTAAATTAATGTTTATTAACTGAATGGAATGGGTTTGCTTGTCATTTACCATTTGTCATGGTCTTTTTTGTAATTAGCATTTGCAAAGATGTCAAACTGGCAGGTGTAATTTAAGAGCTACCCTTCGCCCTTTAAGGAATAATGACTAGGGAAGCAAGCAACTTTTTGTTTTTTTGGTTAGGCAGTTGGGGTTAAGTGACTTGCCCAGGGTCACACAGCTAGTAAGTGCCAAGTCTTTGGTCTGAGGTCAGATTTGAACTCAGGTCCTCCTGACTTCAGGCCCGGTGCTCTATCCACTGCAATACCTAGCTGCCCCAACAAGCAACTTTTTAAAAAACTTTTGGGCAATAGGTGTTAAGTGACTTGCCCAGGGTCACACAGCTAAGCAGGTGTCTGAGACCAGATTTGAACGCAGGTCCTTCTGACTGGAGGGCTGTTGCTCTATCCACTGTGTCACCTAGCTGCCCAGTTAGCAGCTTTTAAACATAAAAATGTGCTCTTAAATGAGCAATATTTAGGGGGGCAGATAGATATAATTTTAGTACCTCTTTCTCAGAGGAGAACAGAGAGGCCCCCTCAGTCCCCTTCTCCTGCTTACCACAAGGTAGGAATCACAAAATCCTTGGAGAAAGGTGGGCACTGCCTCCTCTTGAGCCTCCTCCATACATTTGGACTCCCCATGTGAATATGCCTGTTTTCTATGGGCAGCACTCATGCGTATACTTAGTACAAGAGGAAGTAATCATAAAAAGCAAAATGAGTGCAAAGCAAAGCTAGCTAGCTCTAACAGTATCAACAGGGCTATGAGAGCAAACCTAACTACACATACTGGCATACATACACACAAAGACTAAAACAATTAATAGGTGTTGCTATACTACAAACATTATGCAAGTACGTGATCCAGTAAGTGTGACGGCAAAACTATAATAAGTATTAGTCCATACAGGTAAGAATTGACATGTACAGGAATAAATACATGCATTTATATGCAAGGCACACTTTAGGTGGGGAATCTCCAGTACTGTCATGTGGACGCGTGTGTCACTAGTTCCAGTTCACCTGTGCCATCCGAGGCAAGCTCAGTGACTGGTTGAATGGGTCGAGTTCTTCTGGACCTTATTGACCTTTGCTCTAACATCATAGATAGAGGACTGCTGCTCTATAGCTAAACTTATAAAAGAACCAGACTTGGTATCAGTACTTTTTTACTCTGGGGATTATTTTTATGCCCAGGCCTAGGAGTCTCTGGGTGATGTCTCTTTTTGCCATCTAAACTGGGATCCCTTTTTCTTCAAGTATGGTTGTCTAGTAGTAGTAGCTAGGTGCCACAGTGGATAAACTGCTGGGTCTGGAGTCTGGAAGACCCGAATTCTAATGTGACCTCTTATTAGCTACGGGACATTGGGCAGGTCACTTGCCCTCTGTTTGCCTCAGTTTCTTCAACTGGAAAATGGGTGTAACAATAGCATCTACCACCTAGGGTTGTTGTGAGGCTCAGATGAGATATCTGTAAAGCCCTCAGCGTGGGGTCTGGCACACAGGAGGTGCTATATAAACGTTAGACATTGTTATTATCTCTTTCACTGGAAATGTCATTTTCAGAGGCCACACCTCAGTCAGAGGCTTTGAGTAATTGACTGGCGGTCTCTTTTCCTCAGAGGCCATCAAGCTCACTACCCATCACTTCTGTCTGCTTGCTCATTAGAAAGTCTAACTAGAGAGGATTCTGGGAAGATGGTGGAATAAGGCAGGAGATTACCTGGCTCTCCTAAGTTCCCCCACAAAGAATATGAAATAATGCCCCAGAGTGAACTTTGAGGGGCAGAAATCGTTTAATGTTGGGGTAAAGCAGTTTTCCACCTAAAACAACTTCAGGGGATGGTAGGAAAGCCCCTACATCCCAGGGTGGTGCTTTGACCTGATTGAAGCACCAATACCTCAGGGCAGATACTGCCCAATCAACAAAACAGCAAGCCTTGGGGCAGCTGCATAAGCTGCAGCTTCATCTTCAAGAACTTTTGCCTCCCAGACAGGGTGGATCAGGAGAAGATTGCAGGGCCATCCTCTGGTGCTAGATACCTGCTTGGGTGAGGTAAGCTGCCTCCTGGCTGTGGTCTTGGCTGTGGCTATGAGAGAGGAGGAACTAGCACATGGGCTGGGTGAGTGCCACTGAAGAGGGCAGGGACCCCACTGGCCATGGGCACTGAAGGAGTTCTTTGTTTTTGTTCCAGAATAGATGGGTGTGGGAGAGACTGGTCATGGCTCAGGGGCAGAGAGGAATACCTGAAGTCAGGCCCCCAACAGAGCTCAGAAAACAAAAGCACAAAAAACCTGAAGCCTGAGATACTATCCCCCAGAATTCAGGACTAGAGCTCAACTTTAACACAAGGTCAACAGACAAGAAATAAGCTGCTTTAAAGAATAATGAGGAAGCAAAAGAGGAAGAACCCAAATATAAATAGCTACCACGGTGATAGAGAAGATCTGGGTTCAAACTCAGAAGAAGATAGTGAAGTGAAAACAGATATTTCTACTTCAAAGAAAAAAGCAAAATGGTCATAAGCCCAAAAAAGAGTTTTGGAAGAGGTTAAAAATGACTTTAAAAATCAAATGAGAGAGGTTGAGGAAAAATTAGGGGAAAAAAAATGAGTAACATAAGAAAATAAAGACAATTATGAAAAGAAAGTCAACCAATCAGAAAAAGGGGTTCAAAAACTGAACAAAGAAAATAATTCCTTAAACTACAATTAGGCAAGGGGAAGCTAATGATTTCATGAGACACCAAGAAATAATAAAATAAAATCAAAAGAATGGAAAAATAGAAGAGAATGTGAAATATCTCATTAGAAAAACAACTGATCTGGAGAACAGATTGAGGAGAGACAATATAAGAATTGTTGGACTACTTGAAAATTATGGGAAAAAAAAGTCTAGATACTCTACTTCAAGAGATTACAAAGGAAAATTGCCCTGAAGTTTTAGAATGACAGGGTAAAATAGAAATAGAAAAAATTGACTAATCACTCCATGAAAGAGATCCCTAGATGAAAACTCACAAGAACATCATAGCCAAGTTTTGAAACTCCTAAGTCAAGAAGAAAATACTACAAGCAACTAGAAAAAAAAACCAATTTAAATACTGTGGAGCTACAGTGAGGATAATACAAGATTTATCAGCTTCTACATTAAAAAACCAAAGTACATGGAACCATGTATTCTGAAGAGCAAAGAAGCTGGGCTTGCAACCAAGAATAACTTACCTTGCAAAGCTGAGTGTAATCTTGAATGAAAAAAAGTGAATATTTAATGAACTAAAGGACTTTCAGATATTTGTAAGGAAAAGATCAGAAGTGAATGGAAATTTTGACCTACTAGACTCTGGAGAAACATAAGAAGGTAAACATTAAAGACCAATTATGAAGGATTCAATAAGGTCAAAATCTTTGCTTCTTATATGGGAAAACATTATCTGTGACTAATAAGAATGTTATCATTACTTGGGTAGTTTGAAAGAGAATACATAGGCTTGGGGTTGAATTGAGTGTGATGGGAAGATACTAAAAAATGAAATTGGATAGGAAGAGGTAAAATGGAGCAATTATCTCATATAAATGAATGGAAGAACTATTAGAACCTTATTCTCATTAGAACTGAATTAAAGAGGTAATAACATATACATCTAGAAGGGTATTAAAGTCTTCCTAACTTACAGAGAGATAGGAAAGTGAGGGGATAAGATAAGAGAAGGACTCTTAGAAAGATATGTAGATCAAAAAATAGGAGGGTAAGGGGAGAGGATAAGGGAAGGAATTTTAAAAGGGGAGAAGAGGGTAAAGGAGTGATTCTTAGAAGGGGTGTGGATTAGGGAGGCAGTGGTTAGAGGTAAATTAGATATTTGAGGAGTGATAGGGTAAAAAGGGAGAGAAGGATAAACAGTGACAAAAAGTAAGATAGAGGGAAATGCACAACTAGTAATTAGAACTTTGAATGTGAATGGGATGAATTCACCCATAAAATGGAAACAGATAGCAGAATGGATTAAAAAACAGAATCTGACAATAGGTTGTTTACAAGAAACACGTTTAAAAATAAGAGATACACATAAGAGTAAAAATAAAGGGCTGCAGTAGAATTTATTCTGCTTCAGCTGATGCAAAAAAAAAAGCAGGGGTAGCAATCAGGATCTCAAACGAAGTTAAAGCTAAAATAGATTTAGTTAAAAGTGATATTTTGATATGCCAATAAATTTAACAATTTAAGTAAAATGGAAGAATATTTACAAAAATATAAATTACCTAGATTAACAGAAGAGGAAATAGAATATCTAAATAAACCTATTTCAGAAAAAGAAATTGAACAGGCCATAAATGAGCTTCCTAAGAAAAAAGCATCAAGACCAAATGGATTTACAAGTGCATTCTACCAAACACTTAAAGATCAATTAATTCTAATATTAAATAAATTATTTGGAATAATAGGCAAAGGAGTCCTACCTAACTTCTTTTATGAAATGAACATGATGCTGATCCCTAAGCCAGGAAGAGCAAAAAACAAAAAACAGAGAAACAAAATTATAGACCAATTTCATTATTGAATATGGATGTAAAAATTCTAAATAAAACAATAGCCAAGAGACTACAACAGTATATCACAAAGATTATATATGGTGACCAAGTGGAATTTAGAAATGCAGGCTTAGCATAAGGAAAACTATTAACTGATTGATTATATCAAAAACAAAAGTAATAATCATATGATTGTATCAACAGATGCAGAAAAAGCTTTTGACAAATACAGCAC